ACAAAGGAGGTTGCTGGAGTGGTGATTGAAATGTGCTGTTCGTTAAATGCCAGAAGAACAGGTCAGGTTTAGGGCCAGAAAAAAGGGGAGACTGAGGTTGAGGGGAAGTGTTGAAGAAAGGAAAGTTGTGTTGCTGGTTCTCCCACACAATTAAAGCACGAATGCTACAAAGGTAGAATGAAAGCATTTAGTGTCTCCTGGGGTGCTTTGTTAATGGCAAGAGACTAAGCTCATGGCAGTCTGTACTGTCTGTGCTACAGCCCTTATCCTAAACGTGGTGAGGCAATGCTGGTGCTACTGCCATTACCTACGTGTGTTAGAGAGTCCTGCAGGGCTGAGTCAGTAACGTGTTGCTGCGTCAGCATGGAGGGCAGGGTGCTGAGCAAAACAGCTTTAAAATGCTGTGACAGAAAAGAAATTGTCCATGACAGAACTAGTGCTGCTGTGCTGTGGGTGCCAGGTTCAAGCTGGTTTCATATTTAATGAATGTTGCCCCACCTTCCCTGTAGACAACTGTTCTTTCTCTGCCTTTTGAATCAAGTAGCGGGCATATTCCATCCAGAAATCACCGCAGGACAATAGTGAGGAGTAATGTTTCCACCCTCTGAAAGACACGAGGCTGCTGCATTCTCATTCCCCAAGTAAGGCTTTTCCTGGTCTTTGTTCTGTTTGTATTTTTGTAAGGACAGCAGGAAGATAGTACAAGATATGCATGAGGCAACCAGCCAAGCCAGTCTCTTTTCAAGTATTCTGCCCCACCAAGCTTGGCCTGGGTCACACAGAGGAAAAAGCTTGACCTGGGACCATGCAAGCGCTGTGCTTTGGAGGAAACCAGAGCTAAAGGTGGTTCTGTGGTGGGGTGGGATGACCTGCAGGTTGACCTGCTGGCCAAGTCCTGCCTAAGGCTCTGCAGGTTCCCCTGCCAGGTGCTGAGGAGTCCAGCTGTTAACCCAACACTGCCAACTCCATCACAAAACGATGTCTCTAAGTGCCACATCTACACATCTTTTAAATACCTCCAGGGATGGTGACTCCACCACTTCCCTGGGCAGCCCGTTCCAATGCTTGACAAGCCTCTTGGTGACTAAATTTTTCCTAATCTCAAATCTAAGCCTCCTGTGGTACAGCAATCACTTCCCCAGTCCACCACCCTCCAATCCAAGAGACACATTTTCAGGTCTCTTGTTGACAGACACTTCTGCTGCTCTCTACCTGCCAGCCCTACAGAGCTGGAACACCCCATAACCCAGCTCCACTGCCGGGGAAGGGACAGCCTCCTTTATTTCACACCAGTGAACATTTCCCCAAGCCTCACAAGGGCTGAGGAAGCCCAGCTCAATCTCGCCCCTAAGAAGAAAGACTCAAGACAGGAGTTTCAGTGAACTACAATGCACCCCAGTGTTTATTAACTTCAGATTAGTGTGATAGGCACAACGCTGCATCCACGGGATATCTCCCCACACTCTAAGCTTGTTCCTTCAGCCTCTTCAGCAGCTCCCTCAGCTGCTCGATCTGGGTGGTCACGCTGCTCTTGGCTGTACCGCCCATGGCCGTGTACTGCTCCACGCTGTTGACGATGTTGAAGACCTGGGAGACGTCGCTGCCAAACAGGGGGCTGTGGAGGCAAAGAGGAGAGGTGTTAACACTGGGTGCTGTTGGCTGCAAAGAGGGTGATGGAGTGGAAATGGAGCCTTTATCCCAGGGGAAAGACCTCCTGCAGCCCTGCTTCTGCACTTCTAGTGCCTGCCTCTGCTTGTCAGCTCCAAGGGGAGAGCAAGGAAGATCGGAGCCAAGCTCTTCAAGAGGACTGGTGCCTCCAGGTCAGGGCATGAGTTTCTTCCAGTCCCTCCCAGTACCTGCTGCCCCTGCCCCACTGGAGCTGAATGCTAGTCATGCTGTCCCCTTCAGTGTTTCCAGGTCCATCAGTCGCAGCACCGATATTCAGGCCAGGAGGATTTTGGGAAAGGGAACTATGAGGAGGCCCATACAAAGGCAGGCTGATACCCACCAGTTGAGTGATAAAATAATAGTGATACGAACCTGATGCTCTTCAGGTCCTCCAGGCTGAGGTTACTGATGGTGGTGCCTTTCGACTCAGCGAGGTGGACGGCTTTCCCAGAGGCAATGTGGGCTTGTCTGAACGGCATCTGCAGTGAGAAACAGAGGCCACAGTCAGGGACCAGGCAGCTGGGGTGCAACCTCAATGGAAAATATGGCTGTGCTCTCTTTTTGGGTTGGCTTGCTTTCACTTAGGGCAATACAATTTGAATCTGGGTTTTCTGGGGCGTGAAGCGGGGAGACGTTAGGAGGTAAAACTCCACCTGTAAATTACAATCAAGTCCACCCGGCAGCACTTCCACTACTTGGGATACATGTAAAAAATGGGTTTCCAGCTTTCGTGTTTGTTGACCCAGACTGATCATCACCTGGGAACAGAACAGAAGGCCTCATCTCAGGCCCTCGCTGAGCAGTATCCTGTGTGCAAAGAAATCACGGCTCCAGGTACCCTTCTGATACTTACTCCTTTATGAACCAAGTAGAGAGCCAGGTCAGATGACAGGATCTCAGGGCTCACCGCCTTCTCCATGTTCTCCTTGTTGATCTGCAGAAGGAAGGTGACAGGGAGATATTATCAGCAGCTCCTCCTTGAGGACACATTAGCAGTCACAGTGAGGGCACTTAATGTGGAAGGGACCTGGCTTTCCAAGGAGCCTCTGAGACTCTCAGCAGCTGAAACCGGGGGCTGTAATGAGCAGTACAGGTGAGGCACTGAAGAGCCTTCATCTCAGGACTTACCTCTCCTACCTCTATTACTCACAGAATGTGTCCCCCAACCCTGTGCAG